TCTTTCTCCCTATTTTTAACTCCTTGAGTTAAAAGTCTCGGTTATCTGGGCCACATTTGAACATTACTATTGCTTCATTTGAGGATCAGCCATACTTCACCCCTCCCCATGCTAATTTAAGCAACCCACTGGGCATGCTCTGTGCACAGCCTCCTTCCTGCACCATGTTTTTCAGACAACCTTTAGATGCATCTGAAACCCTGAATGAGAGACACCCCACATCCCTGCTACTTCAGGGCCAGACAGACTATGAAGGCAATTGAGCTTCTAGCATTCTGTCTGCCCCTGTACAAAAAAGCCCCTATTTATTATTCTGGGTTAATTTCATGGGGGAAATCTAATGGTTCATTTACCTCATGTAAAAGGTCTGCTTCTGGAAAACCAGTTTTCCTAAACAAGCAACAAGTTATGGTATGATATGTCCCAAGTGGTAATCACTGACAAAATTTTCACTAGTTCAAGTAAAATGACTAGAAAGAAGAAGCTAATCTATGAAATTTAAAAGGTTGCAATTTTTTTTTCTACAATTTTAAAAATTTAAATATCCTTTGCATTATGAGCTATGTTTTGGGAACCAGTAATTTTTTGCAATGCTTTTACATGGAAAAAATGTCTTGTATTTTCTGTCACCATTTGTAGAGGGCTAGATATGTGAGTTTTGAATCATATGTGATTATAAAATAACCAAATTATTCATTATTCCCAGCTCAAATAAACCAACTTTGTTCAAAGAAATATTGGCTTGTAAAATACTGAAATGCTTGATAATTGTCCATTTTTTTGTTTCTTGTCTATGTACATTTGGAGATCATGTGGCCCTTTTAAAGAAGAGGAGAGAGAAGGTGCTATTTTGTACCCAGCTTGACAAGTCATATATTTATTAAAGACTCTCAATTTCAAGTTAAAGGTAAAAGGACATCTCAGAAACAGCCTCATGTTGTTAGCCAACTTTGTCCAAAATGGTAAACTGAATATAACAGTTACTATAATAAGCATTTTTACATATATTTTCTATTTTTTTCCTGTGAAGTAAGGTAAATTCCTATTAATCAAATGAGAAAACGATGCTTTGAAAGTTTCAAAGATACAGCTAGTAAATGACAAAGTAGAATCTGAGTTCAGAGGTGTTTAACAGCATAACCCAAGTTCTTTCTACTATCAAATAATTTTAAAAGGTATTTTAATTCTTTTGAAATTTGTTTATGAGAAATATATCAATAACTATTAATTTAATTGTGGAGAATAGTTAAAAGACAATGCTTCTGCTTATTTGACTTGTCAAAGCTGATATGCATTTGAGATGAAAATGAGTACTTTGTGTTTTTATGCTACCTGGTGACAATTGATCTGAAGATTAATGGCTGAGCCGGAGAGTACAAGAGTAAGGGAAACTGTCCTCCTCCGAGACAGCAAACACATAAAACAGAGCATCCAACCAAGATCAATATTAGGACATTTTAAAAAGATTTGACAGGAGTGAAAGCATTGTTTCTTTATTATTTTAAGGTAATTCATAGATTTCTGAATTTTGCTTATCTTACATTTATCTTTTATGTTGTTACTTTCTATAAATGCTATAATTAAGAGTGAATTATGTCTTGAGAAGATAGGTAAAGAAAGGAGATAAGATATTGGTCTCATAAAATTTTGGTTCAAATTACAAGTTAATTGTGACAAGTTCAGGAAAAACAATTTGGCCTATATCTGTTGAGAGTTCATGTTTACTTTCTCAGTCCCCCATGCTCTAGAAAAGCACATTATAACACTAATCAGTTAGAATTAAAGACTAAAACAGCCAACGCATCTTCCAGACACCCTCAAATTTTCCCATGGAGTGATTACTCAATTTTAATTCGACAGTTCTTACTTCTTATCTTTGAAAGAAATGTTTAAAAAATTGATGTTTATCTTTACCAGAAAATATGTCTTAGTGAAAAAAAAAGTCAAACATTTTAATAAAAATGTTTGTTTACATTAACACTGTGTAGATAATAAGACGGCAAAGGACTATTGTCCTTCAACACTGCTGCCCTTCTTTGCTCATTAAAAGCTCTAGCAGGGATAATTCTGAAGACAACATTAGCTACTGATACAGATAATCATGAACATTTTCCATCCAAAAGTGCATTGAACCTTTTTCTTTAGTATAATAATTCAAGCTTCATGCTAAGATCATTAGAGAACATAAAACAAAGAATAAAATAAACTGCATTGCCTTTACTGTAAGGTTGCCCATTTCTCCTTCCTTGATTTCTTTAGACGTTTCTGTTATCTTTTACTCCACACAATCATCATATAATCATATAATCAATAATCAATCAAACCTACTATGAACCAGGTACCTCACAATATAATAGAATCTCTAAGTCTGGGATTTTTCCACAGTTGAAGATGTGAAGTCTCTCCACAGCTTGCCAAGATCATAAAGTGAGCAAGAGTTAGATAGTACAGTAGTTAAAAATGTAAATAGAGTTATTTTATTTTATTTTATTTTATTTTATTTTATTGTGTTAAGTCAAGGGGATTTCTCTTCCTTTCAAGAAATGCATTTTCTCTCTTAGAAATATCCAATTAAAATTTTTGCTACACTTTAAAATATGCATCAGTGAATTAATAAAAATTAAGAGTACCTTGGCTGGGCCCATTGCTCATTATAATGAGCTTAATTCTCTCGGTTAAATATAGTTCCTAAAAACAAATCATTAGTACTATCTTAGCTATGTCCTTAGTATATGAGAGTCAGCAAACTTATCTGTGATAAAGGAATGATGTACATTTAGAGCTTTTTGAAAAAAGATAACATGTAGAAAACATTGGCATCTAAAAACAAAATAAAATAAACAAAATAAAGCAATAATATGACAAAAAAAAAATAACTGTATCATGAAGCTCCCAGGTCAGTGAACTCGATGTTTCCTAAGATGACATGTTGCTCTTCAGTTTTGAGCAATAGGCTTATGCCTTTCACAACACAGAAAATTGGAAAACTAGCCCAATGATTTCATCAGAGTCAAGCTTTATGAACTATTTGACATGAAAGCAAAGTAAAACTATATTTATGGAAAAATAAAACTTTAGTAAACTGGCCAAAACTTCCTTCCTTAAAAATATCAACCCTTTACTTTTTGATAATAAAGTAGTGAGAGTAACAATAAATCCTATCAACCTTGTTCTCAGAGGTAAAGTGAAATTTAACTTCATTACACTTCCTGGGAACTTGGCCATTTTACTAACTTCAGAAAATGTTTACCACTAGTATATCTATCAAATTGTGATTTCCTTGTTCTACCCCATTATTTTCAACGCCATTATTTTCCTGCCTACGACAGGAAGGCAGGTCATCTCTAGATGCTTATAAAACTTTCTGGAGAATTTTATAGTAATACAATATACCCTGGAACAAATATACAATTGAAAAAGGAATAGTCCCCAGCACTAGAACATGAGATCCACAAGAACAGGGACCATACTTGTCTCTCTTATCCTTTCCTCCCCAGGGCCTGGAACAGAGCTGACGCATGGTGACATCTCAGTATATTTGCTGAATGAATGAACAAATTAATGCAGTGGAATTATCCTGTAGTCTTTTGAAAGCATTTATATACACTTTTTAATTTGGATTTTAAATGGCTGTACGATATATGTCAATGTTGAAAAAGCCATCTTAAGCGTTTGTTTTACAGTTGTTACTATTGAACATGTTTTAGGTCTTTCTGGGTTCCTGTGTGTAGTTTATTCTAATTGCAGTGGTTAGTGGCAAATTTTTCTGCAAAAATTTACTACTATAAAACATGTTTTGAGTATACATAGGACTTCTAAAAGAATCGACTTACCATACCATAGAATTTCTTTGATAAGGAAATACACCATGGCAGAATCATCCTATGAGTATTTTTTTTCTTTTTTGTTCTTTTCAGTAAGAAAATATATCAAAAGAAAAGAGGAATGTGAACTAACTGTCATGTAAACTAAGCTCATTTCCTTCTGGCCCATCCACTGGGGCTTCAAACTTTCTGGAGATTTATCTTCTAAGTGTACTGCTCTTGGAATTTCCAGGCCAAATTTTTCTTAAAAGATGATAAATCAAATTGGCTTTAGGGTGTTAGGCTAAAGATATATGCTCCAAGATTATATGGAATATTTACACCATCCCTTAGTTATAAATATTTCCTTTGAGACTTTCTGAAGAATATAAACATCTGGACTACAAAATGCCAAAAGTAAAGGCAACACTAAGATTCAGAGATTAATGGAGTATTTTGGTACTTGAAAGAGAAGGTTTTGTTGTAAAATTTTACTTTTTTTGCTTCTGATAACTATGCATACTTTACAAATTAGTAATGTTCAAACATTATCTGGACTACGTCAAGAGTAGAGAGGCTGTCCAGATTTTCTTAATATCTAATATTTCATGAGAGCAAATCATAGAATTAAACCATCACTCTGGAATTTTTGTATGTAAGACATTGTTTTGTCCAAATATCTATTTTGCTGAAGGATGGAAGGGGGCGCAGGGCGTGAATCTAAGAAAGATTAAAAAAAAAAAAAAAAAAAAATCAAAACCTTTCAAACAAATGGGCCCATATGGTAAATTTTTTTTTTTGCAAAAAAGAAAAGGACAAAGGATAATACATCCTGATGAAGTGGAGTTTATCCCAGGAATGCAAGGTTAGTTTGAAATTTGCAAATCAATGTTATTGAGGACAATAAAGGAGGAAAACCATGTGATCATTTCAACAGATGCAGAAAAAGATTTTGATAACATTTGTTAAAACTATTCATGGTAAAAAGCTCTCAGTAAACAAGAAGAAAAGAAAGGATAAGTCTCCTAACCTCAAAGCTACCTCTTTCTGTCCTATTCTGTTTCCTTTACTCCTCATTAGGTGGCACTGTCTCTTGCATTTGGAATTGCAGAGATTAAAACTGAAAATGCTAAACTCTTAGAGAAGCCATTCCCATGAATAAGCAAGGTAGGTAAAGAGAGCCTGCATCCCACTCACCCAAATCAGAGCACTGGACAACTCGAAGATGGCATTGACAGCGGAAGGGACATACTGGTCCCAGGGGCTCTAATTCAGGCAAATCAGGAGCACGCTCTTCCGGGCCTATTCCAGAAGCCTCATCTTCTAGCATAAAGTCAAATAAGCCTCTCTGTTGAAATGGTCCAGCCCAGGAAACTTGTGCAAGCAGGAGGAAGACGATGGTTGCCTTCATGATCTATCTCATGTATTTTCACAACCAGGGAATCTAGGAAACAAATGAAAGGTTTAGGAAAAGTAATGCTGCCTAGTACATGTGTTATGTCATATATTGCCCCACAGTAAGGTGTGCACAGCAAAACATGTAAGAAAATATTTATTATTAGGAAGCAGAGCATTAAAAATATATTTGAAAGGTGATAAAGTACATTATAGTTTCACTTGCACAGCTATTTAATTATGAAGAGAAATTTGAATATTATTTAAATCTGCTTGTTTTGAATTTTGAGTCTGAATTAAGATGATATACCATATATTCACATCATTTGAACAACTGTCATGACAATAAATCATGTTGGACTTTTCAATGCTCACTTAACACAAGTCCTACCAAAGTCAAATAAAATTCTGTCTACGTGCATGAAAGATCTCTAATTCCTGCGTCAAAAATATCTCTGGAAGCCAATTGCAAGTCTCCATCTGTATTTATCTGTATACTGTATTTATCTTGGTCCAGGCCCTCCTCATCAATCCCTGGACTACTGCAAAGCTTCCAACTAATCTCTGCTTTGAATATTTTCTCTACTCCAGGCCATCTTCCACTCTGCTGCCCAAGTCATCATCTAATAATTAAATTTCATCTTATTTATTTGTACTGCAAACCATTTGTTGAGTTCCTATGGCTTGCCAATAATGTCCTCATCCGCTGTGCTCTGTGTAAGACCACTCATAATTTGTTACCAACTGATATTCTAGCCACATTTCTTTTCGGTTTCTCTCCACTACCCATCCCCAACTCAACCCTGACACTCTAAGCTACTTGCCACTTAAAATACCTACCTTGTAAGAGTGTTATGAAGGTTGACTGAGATAACGCGCTCCCCTTCTGTATTCCCTGGCTCATCCAGGCAGAATACTCTTTTCTCCCTCTTCTGTGCTCCAAAAGCACTTTGCTCTTACCTCTTTTAAAGAACTTATCACATTATATTGTAATTTGTTTTGCGTGCTTGGTCTGTCCCCCTGCTAGACGATGTACTCCTTCAGGGCGTGTCTTATTATTCTTTGTTCTGTACCCTGGCCTTGCACAATATTTTGCACACAAATGACTCAATTGACCATCAATTTATTAGCAATGCTATTTGTTCAATTTGTTCCATGCAACCAGTCAGTCTGATTTTTTTAACACACAGGATTATCTTTCTTTTTTAATATTAACTTTCTGGTATAAGAAAATTATTAAATTGAAAATTTCAACTTGGTATAAACAAGATTCACTTTTGAAAATAAATCTATTGGCTAATTTCACAAACTGATGATTTTAATAAACCAATAAACACCTATGGAAAATCCTAACATATAAAGTATGATTTATATGTGTCTGGTTTTACCAAAAGGGCTATTTTGTAAAAAACAAAATACAGTTTTGACAAACCCATACAATATCTATCCATTCATTCAATATGCACTTATAGATATATACATGTATGTTATTAATAATAAACCAATAAACACCTACGGAAAATCCTAACATATAAAGTATGATTTATATGTGTCTGGTTTTACCAAAAGGGCTATTTTGTTAAAAACAAAATACAGTTTTGACAAATCCATACAATATCTATCCATTCATTCAATATGCACTTATAGATATATACATGTATGTTATTAAATCTGTTAATGTGAACTAAACTAAATAAATCTGAATAATAAATCTTAATTAATCTGAATAACAGAAAGTAGTTGATTGCATAGGGAACAAACATTTTGTTTTTGAGATGATATATTTTAAAATCCCATTATCGTCTCTACTTTGAATTATACATTTACGAGAATCCATATTAAAACTGCACATTTGTAACTAGAATTAAATAATTATTCTGAATCATTATCTAATTGTACCATATGCAATAAAGAAAAGAAAAATATCTTTGTATGCTGTAACCATAATGCACTTCTGGAAGTTTTTGCCTAGAACCATTAGAGAGGAAACAAATGTTTTTCAATTTCTTACACTTTTGTTCTTAGTTTATATTGACTACTGAAGTATGTCAGAGGCAGCACACATACAATACAGCCTTGTGGCATTTCATTAAAAATAACATAAAGACTGTCGCTCACATTAGCAATTTAAGTTTTCTCTAGGAGCCCATCCCCACTCAGTTACAGTTTTCCTTTAAGAGGAGAGTATTGTTTTGGCAGTGTGTTCACTTGGATTGGATTTAAGGGAGTGGTTTTCTAACTTTTTCACATTAAAATGCAATGTTTACGGTTTACCACAAGTTTGCTTGCCTTGCATAGTTAATGTCTTACAATTTTAGAAGAAAAGTTAAGCAAAGTGATTACAGATTTATTAAATAGCAACGAGAGTTAATGCAGATGTCACTCTGGAATCTTTTCTCCAAAGCATAAAATGCCTGCTTGTTTCACTAACAACCCAAAAAAGAAAACGTTGAGCATTAGCTCAGAGGAATAGTATCATCATTTATATTTGTTTACTCTTGGTAAAATGGGGCAAATTCTAGGCACAGTATTCTTTTTGATTGAAGCTGAATACAGACACAGGCAGCTTATAGCTTCAATTACTTTTATCTCACTTTCATTTGCGTGTGTGTGTACACGTGTGTGTGTGTGTGTGTGTGTGTGTGTGTTCATTTAACCCTAAATGTCCTAGAGAAGAAGAATAACGTGCCCAGAAACTTTATGCAAATTCCTCCCTGAAACAATTTCTTTTTAAATTAGTGTCATTGTACTTGAAAGCCCAGAATCTTAAAATAATTAATGTGGGCTGTTGATACTATGACTTCATTGATCATTTTCTCCCTTCCTTAATAAATCAGAAAATAAATAACAAATGTCAGTTGCCCATGTACAAACCAAGGAGACAGTAATTGAGATGACATATTTTAAAAAATCACTGAAATATCTTTTAAGTATTCTCAAAATGTATGACACTTTCCAAGATGTTAATTGTTATTGTAATGTCACTACTACACTAAAGCTAGTTGACATAGTTTATAAACATTTTATCAAAAATAATAATTTCTGGCTTCTAAAACTACTTTAGTCCATTAAATTAATTACATCATTCAGATCAACATTTGCATAATGTCATTTATATCTTTGGTGTGACTTTCAAAGTGAAGATTTAACCCTCAGGAGATGAGGGTAGCTAAAAATGCAGGGCAAAGTTAAAATCCCCAGCAATAGGCGAATTAAAACCTTCAATAATAATAGAAATACCTCAAAACAAACAATAAAACCAGCATTTATTCATAAGCAACGACTACGATAGCAGACACTTAGTTCTTTTTCTGGTAAAAACAGCAAGAGGAAGAAAAAGCCACAGGTATTTACGTCATGGGTGCCCACTTGACCAGTGGTCATCGTGTTACCCTGTCTTAAAATTAGAAAGAAAATTAACCCACACCTTCATTTTAAAGTAAATGTAGCTTATAATAAAATTTCATTTGCATTGAAAATACTGACAGAGACACTTCTTTATGTTTAAGGAATTATGCGGCTATGAGAATATCTTAGATCTTTAACAGCATAAATATTTTCAAAGTTTATTTTCACCTCTCTGGTGACAATTTCTATTCATTTCTGGGGCTGTAGAAATATTCGTTAGATCTCTACAGCTTATATCCAGAGTTCATTTCTTTGAGATTTTAAAAGTTCATAAAGTATACAAGAATTCAGGGAGGGAATAAATCCTTAGACACAAGCATATAATTCAACTACAAATAGTTTGCTAGTTTAGAATACTTTTCTGTTAACATTTCCTAAAGATCTAAACATTTCATTACTACAAATACAAAAACATTAATATAGACAGCCATGGTGTTAGGTTATAGTTTTTAAATAAGCATCTTTGCAAGAACAGAAGAGAAAGAATTAAAACAATGCATTCAACCATTTTACCAAATATTTAACTTCTGTTTTCAAGCAATACTTGTTTAAAATGCTACATAAAGATTATTAGAAGTTTAGTACGATATTTTTCTTTTCTTTTTTCTCACCAAATAATTCCTTTTGCTCTCAACTTGACCGAAGTTTTATTAGTCTGTAGCATAGTTCAGGACAATTATTGAAAACCATACCTTTTAATCCGGGGATTTGCCACAGGAGCCCTCAAAGCTGGGATGTAATTACACTAAATATTCAGCCCAAGCAAAAGAGTTTGCAGGTGTGGAAAGGAGGAGGGGGTAGGTGCTGCTCTGTGACTGTCACTAGGTTGAAAACCTCCTGCTTCTACTCCATAGCACAGTTAAAAAATAAGGTTTCCCTCAATGAACACAATCCGGCTGACACCCACATTAGATCATATGGTAATGATATGTCTCTTGTATTGTAGCCAGAAACTTTATCGGCTTTTTCTCCCCTTTTGCTTTATTCCTTTTTCATCTGCTAAATATTCTAAGCTGCTCATATAGTAGAGAGGAGCAACTTGAATTGAAATTTGTCTTATTGTAGATTCATTCCCGTAAAATATTGTAACTGAAGGGTTTGTTTCCCCACCCCCAACCCTACTCCACTATCCACCCTTTCTAGTCTTGTTTATAGCAACATTTATTATACTTTCAAAATGACAATTTTTCTTGATTTCAGTATGTGTAAGTCCAGAAAATGGAATCTTGGAGTTGTTTTAAATGTGGTTTTCAAAAATAAATGAGTAGCCTTATGTGAAATCACTCATTTGGATTTTTACTTGCCTTGGAATGTTTGTGGAAATTCAGGTACTGTGCTGTGGAGTTTTTCTATATATTTTGACTGTGTTTCTAGAGTCTTCTGATATAAAGCTCTAGTTTTATATGAAAAACATGTAATTTGTTACTTTTATTACTCATAGTTTAAAATCTTTCTTGTTGCCCAACAGTTTTTTTGTGTTGTTGTTGTTTTTGTTTTTAAATAAAACAAATAAATACTAGAAGTTGGTCACAATATAATTTCGTCTATATATGAAAAATTAAATTTTCATAAACTATGCTTTTATGTAATCCAGAACTTAAAAAAGACAATAAATTCTATGTCTCTTTCCAAATTTCAGTAAATGGAAAAAGAAAGTGCAAATACAAGGGAAGATATTTATTTAGCCACTGGAAAGATTTTTTGAGGTTTTATAATTCCCTTGCTGGATGCTGCTAGTTGTCTCTGTGTGTCTCTGATTTCACTTGTATCTTTATGCTCTGGCCCCTAGGCTGTCACCAGGTGAAAACCTGAAACCAACATCTGTGAAACATGAGAGGAACACCCTCCCATCTTCCAGCCTTCTTCCTTCCCTCCTCTAGCTATCTAAGTTTATCCTTCTACAGTAAATATTCTTTTGCCTTGATGAAACTTGAAGGAATTAAATTCTTGGATGGATAGAAAGGAGGGGGAGGGGAGTTACGACATTATAGTCTGTCCTATTTCCCAAGTCCAGCCTCCTAGGTTTTCACAACTTACTCCACTCCCCTTATTCTGATGGCTTGGAAAAAGGCAAGCACTATTTTCCCTAGACATTGGTTCAAAGACCATGATTCCCTTACCTGGAGTTAATTTTCTCCTCTGAAATTTCCTTGCATGGCACTTATCCCTTATCTGATGACATGCAATCACTTCCTCATATTATAATTATTTATGTACATATCTTACTGCAGGAAAGTCATGTTCGTATTTGTAGAGTCCTGTACCCAGAATGGGCATGGTATATTTTAACTTATGAAGAAACAATTGATGAATTACTAGATAAAGACAGTCAAATTATTGGTTATGGACCATACTATGGTGATTGTTTTGCCCAACCCCTGGTTTATCTAGTTTATACCTTATTAAAACTCAACCCTACTAAGGTTTATGTGACAAATAATGGCAATGCTTATTGAGAGAGAGAGAGAGAGAGGGAGGGAGGGAGGGAAGAAGGCAGGAAGGGAGAGGGAGACAGAGATAGAAACAGAGACAGAGAGAAGAGAGGTAGGGGGTATAAAAGAAAAAGTAGAAGAATGAACAAGAGGAGAAAAAAATAAATATTACCTTGATATGCAGATAATTTTACTTTTATAAAATCAGAACCATTGTTGTTAAGATTTATGTCTTAGGGGCCGAGCCCGTGGCGCACTTGGGAGAGTGTGGCGCTGGGAGCGCAGCAGCACTCCCGCC